ATAGCTCCCGAACGCATCCTAGTGGTCTCGGGGTCAACGGCCCTTCCTGATCCCTAACTCTCAGTGGGCCTCCATGGCTGGCTCCCAACATGAGGGGTGTCTGGGTACTAGGCCCTGAGCTGGAGCTGGGTCTTTTCAACATTAAGATACAGGAAACGGAAGGCAATAGAAGAAAAATCTGAAATTTGGTTGATTTCAGAGATACACTCATTAAAATAAAAACCAAAAACCTGTTCAATGAATTCAAGAAGTATTTAGGAATATGCTTTGCATTGTGTCTAAACCACCTGAGCGAATGTGAGAGAAAACCAGTGTTGGGGCTGGGGAGAGGAACGCAGTGGGAGGCGAGAGAGGGCCTGAGCCATGGCTGATAGGAGGGGTCTGGTCACAACTGCAGGGGTTGGGGAGAAACCAGCATGGGAGGGGCCGCTCGGCATGGCTGTTCCACGTTTGTCAGCTCCAACCTTTAAGACAGTGATGAAAACTTTGTGCTCTTGACCCCAGGAAAATTACGGGCAGTTTCGCCTGTAGCCTCTGCAACAGCAATAGATAGCCGGGGCCCAGTAGGAAGCACCGGATTCCGGACAGTACCGTTCATGGACAATCACAAACAAAGGCCATTCTGTTTCTTCCTAGGGAATCCTTACAACTTGTAAAAAAAATGTGATAAAATATGCACAACATAAAATGTACCGTTTTAACCATTTTTAAGGGTACAGTTCCTGGCGTTGGGTGCATTCACATTGTTGTACCACCATCCATCTCTACCATCCATTTCCAGAATTTGTTTCCTCTTCCCAGAATGAAACTCTGCACCTGTTAAATGCTAACTCCCCGCTTCCCCTTCCTCAGCACTTGGAACCACCGTTAGACTTTGTCTCTATGAATCTGATGACTCTGGGGACCCCATGTAAGTAGAGTCACACAGTATTGGTCCTTTTGTGACCAGCCTATTTCACTTAGCATCATGACCTCAAAGTTCATCCTGTTGTAGCATGTGTCAGAATTTCCTTCCTTTTTAAGGCGGAATAATAGTCCACTGTTTGTTTCGAGGACATTTTGCTTACCATTCATCCACTGAGGGACACTCAGGTGGCTTCCAACTCTTGGTCACTGTGAACAAGGCACAGGTGTGCAAATATCTCTTCGTGTTCCTGCTTTGAGTTCTCTTTGGAATTGCCATCATATATGAATTCTATGTTTACCTTTCTGAGGAACGCCCCATACTGTTTTCTACGGCAGCTACCATCTTGCATTCTCACCCCTATGGCTTGTTTCCTTTTCTGGACTACTACCGGGCTGGCTCAAGCCCCAGTGCAATGCTAAAAAGGACGGGGGGAAGATGACATCTTTGCATCATTCTTAATCTTTGAAGGAGTGTTTCTGTGTTTCTCCATTAGCTATGTTTGCTGGGTATTTCTCATAAGATGTCTTTTTTGTTTTTTCTTTCTTTTTTTTTTTGAGTTGGAGTCTCACTCTGTCACCCAGACTGGAGTGCA